CCCCAAAACCCCAAAACCCCAAAACCCCAAAACCCCGGGATAGGTATAATGAGTTGACGACAACTAAAATAGAGATTAATAGATATAATTTTATCATTGAATATTTAAGGGTCTTCCTCTTCATAGATTTCAGCTCTGCTTTTAGATCTCACATCCCTGTTCTCTGTTTCTGGAGCACGTTCATCTTGTACTGACTATATTTAACCATATAAGGAGTTACCAAATGGCTGAATGATGAGCTCTCTTTGCTCTTTCTCCACTCTTTACATTTCACTACAATATTGACAATCATGAAGTCTATAGGTTACTCTATAATGGTACAGATCATGATTGCAAGCACAATCAAGCAATTAATGGTAAGAATAATCATGAACCAAGAAATAGCTGTATTAGTCCATTTGTCACCGCTTGTCATGGCAAACAAGTAGCAGATAACTCCGACTAAGAAGAGTTCATTGACCAATTCAATGATGTTATCTTGCATCTCTTCAAATGGCCTCAGATAGATCTATTTTAGGTTACAAAGACTGCTCTTACCAAAGTTCCGAAGTAAGCTAGTTGAGAAACAAGTAAGATTGAGTATATGTAAGCTCTGTGCACATTATCTGTCATGAAAATAACAATCAATACAAACAAGACTCTTCTGAACAACAGTAAGAAACTGTAAAATCTTGACCATTTGTTGTTTTTAAGACCTTCAAAGAACTCCATGGTTGGAGTTTTCTTGTCAGGATCATAACGATTTCTGTGGGTATAAAACAAATACAAAGCAAAAGTTGGAATGATAAGACACAGTAAAAGAAATACCCAAGATATAAGATGAGATATGATAGCGGATGCAGAAGATGAGTCAAACTCTCTGATCTCCAAAGCTGATGAAATCACCATTGTTTCGTGAGCTTCTAATAATAACCGAGCATAAGCCACAAAGAAAATGATGTCAATGACTTTATCTCTAATAATTGCGATGTTTCTAATGACTCAGTTAGGATGGTTCTTATTTTTAAACCAAGGAATCACTTTCAACACAATATGCAAAGCAGTGACTAAAATAAAAGCGCAGATCAGAGAGAAGTTATTGACAAAAGTGCTGAAAGACTCAATACCAAGGTTCTGGATTTTCTCTCCAGGCTCTCCAAAGTCCAGCCAATCAATTGGGATGTCAATAAATGGAATATCGGCAGTAGGAATAAAGTTGAAGTTGAACATTACAAAGGCTGTTCCTTCTAAGAACTCATTAATATCTGAAGGAGTGTACTCATCAATAAGCATCAATAGCAAAAGCATCTGGAGTTGATTAAGTAATGACCATAATGAAGTCGGAGGGGTCCCTACTAATACTGCATTGAGCACTGAAATGCCTACTGCTATTCCTACTTGGGTTTGGGCAGTAGCTTCTGCAATATCCCCAGCAGTAGTAACTTCTTTGTGTTTTGCGTCGACAATGATCTCTGTAGTTGTAGTTCCTGAAGGAGCAGTTGTCCAACTGGCTACAACAGTGTATTTATAGGTTTTATCGCTCCCGCTGTCTGGAGGAATTCCAGACAGAGTAAAGTTGTTCTCATGGAAAGTGAGCCAGTCGGTGCTGCTTTGATAGTCAGCATTTGAGAATGTATAGTTGATTGGGGTGGATGTTCCAATAGAACAAGTAATATTTAAGAATGTGTCTAACGCAAAGCTTGGGTTTGCTTCAACAGTAATAGGCTCAACAAACCTGTTGACTGAAGTTTGCCAGAGAATAGTATCAGTCTTTGATTCTGGATTGTTTGGATGGCCTGCACTGGTGCCATCATGATTATAAGTGTTTTGAGCTGCATAAGAATATGTTCTTGCAGAATATCCATATGAATTTGTTACCGCAGACATTGTCATCGAGGATGTCGTGAATTCTTCATTTAAACCCAAATGTACTAAAATTATGAAATATTCTTACTTGGGAAAACTTTGTATATGACTGGAGAATTTGATTTACCTCCGATAAGTCTTAGTCTATGAAATAAACAAACAACTTTACCTTCCAGAAATAGTATCAGAGTAAATCCCGTGATAGACTGATCCTGTGCTTTCAAAGATATTAGTGAATGAAGACGATGTTGTATTGAATACTAACAGTCTTGCATTGCTAGCCTGAGCTAAAATATACACATTGTCTAAGAAGTAATACACTTCATCTATCTCTGTCACTGCTTCATTTGAAGCAAAAATATCTCCTGATAGACTTCCAGAGGGTTCATCAAGAACCATGAAAGTCAGCATTGTTGTAGAAGTGGATGCTCCAATTGGGAGAGCAACATACACTTTAGATTTGTCAGTGTTAGTAGTTGCTGTACCTTTGTTCATCGATGCTGCTGAGCCCCCAGGGATAGACAGTTGATTCTGCCAGTTTACTGTGGGAGTGGATGGAGATGGATCAATATTAGCAAGAGTCCCGTGGTTTGTTGTTTTGTCAACTCCAAAGAAGATAATTCTAGTATCACTAACTCTGAGAAGGCCATAAGGAAAAGCATTCCCAGTTATTAAGCACTTTGAATTGAAAGCAGCTGTATCAAACACACAAACAAAGGCATCTGTCTGAGATTTCTCTATAAAAGAGTTAAAAATGTTTCTTAATACTTACTTTTGGCAGTATAGTAAAGTTTGGAGTCATCATCTGAAATAAATACTGTTGGCTTTGTTGAGCTTGCATTAATATTAGCCCTATATTCAAAAACTATTTTATCCAAAATCTTCGAGCGTTTTTAAACGATTGAAATTTTTTATCTCTTTTGTCAGTAAATCTGAAAAGCTAAATAATTTTGGTTCAGAGCCAAGGAGAATTTAAACTTTTTATGAAGCAAAAATCGTAAATCTCTGAAGGTTCTAACTTTCATGACATGCTTTTACTTTGCTTCCATTGCTCAAAATCATTTTTCATCCAAACAAAATATGGAAGCAAAAACTATGAGTGATAAACCATCGGTTTGAGGACTCTTCTGTATTGATCCAAGAAAATTAGCTTGATGACAAGCAGAATTTATATTAATGAAAGTTCAATTTTGATTATAGAAGTTTTTAGCTTTAACTCTATCTTTTCAATTACTTCTATTATCCATTTACAACCAAATTTTTATCTATTTTATTTCAGAAAACTTTAAAATATCAGCTTCAAGCATAAATTCTGCTTTAAAGGAGTAAGAAGGCTGATTGAAGTAAAGATATTCAAGCATTTTGGCATTTAGCATTACAACGAAACAATCTTAGATATATATGAAGAAAAATATGAACGCTTATTTCTTGGGGCTCTTGATTAATTTTCAAGCGATCACTCTTTTCAGAAAGAATAATTTTCATCTTTAGAACTATCTAATTATTTCAAATTTATTAATTCTGTCTTCTTAGGTGCCGGATTTAACCGCTCCTCCCACAAATATGAGATGGTTGGAGCTTATGACACAGGAACTCAAGTTTCAGAAAATATTATGATTGAAAAAGCAAAATTTGTATTCGGCTTAAAATATTTTTTTATTTTTTAATGGAGGAACAGCAAATTTCCTACTCGACTCAAAAACCTGACACTAATTGGAAATATTCTGAAAGACGACCACATGTACTTGACATGAGGAGCAAGGGGTAATGGATTTATAAGTTATTTATAAAGATGCTAGCTTCCTAATGAAATTTAGGTCATAGAAGTATTTTCGATATGAAAATATTGTACCTTTATGATACTTCTTTAATATACTGAACAACTTACGAATTTTGATAATAAAATGTGCTGCCATCTGAAGTATCCATTTTCAAGACCTCTACTAGGTAATTAGAACTATCATCATAATCATCAACTAGCCAGAGGATAGTGCCTGCATTGTTTAGAACATGAGCGTGAGGGACCCCTTGCTGACCTGAAGTCATTCTTCTAATCCAAGGAATCGTTCCATCTGAATTTTCCCTGATTACATCTAGTACAAAAGCGCCTGACTTAGCAATCCAGTATGTAGCAGCTATAATAAATGACTGAAAAGGATACTTGAAGACCCAACTACATCTATGAAGTATGAATCGGCCGTAGTAGTACCCCAAGTGTAAGATACCATCTCTTCTGGAACTACGAATTAACAGCAGACCTTACAGTAAATGGAACTGTCTTGTGGGCACTGAGTGCAGAGCGTAGGCAAAGCTACAAGAGAGAGCCATAAGATGACAGTCATAAGTCGAAATAGAGAATTCATTAATATTATTAAAGACAGAAATATCAGTCCTTAAATAATGTCCAGGGGTTTTGGGGTTTTGGGGTTTTGGGG